TGTTTCAATGCCTGGTGTTGTGGTAGATGTTCCTATATGAGGTGTTGTGGTAGATGTTTCAAAGCCTGGTGTGGTGGTAGATATTTCAATGCCTGGTGTTGTGGTAGATGTTCCTATGTGAGGTGTTGTGGTAGATGTTTCAATGCCTGATATCGTGGTAGATATTTCAATGCCTGGTGTTGTGGTAGATGTTTCAATGCTTGGTGTGGTAGTAGATGTTCCAATGTGAGTTGCTGTGGTAGATGTTTCAATGCCTGGTGTTGTGGTAGATGTTCCTGTTTGAGGTGTTGCGGTAGATGTTCCAATGTGAGGTGTTGTGGTAGATGTTTCAATGCTTGGTGTGGTGGTAGATGTTCCAATGTGAGGTGTTGTGGTAGATGTTTCAATACCTGGTGTTGTGGTAGATGTCCGTATTTGAGGTGTTATGGTAGATTTTCCTATTTGAGGTGTTGTGGTAGATGTTTCAATGCCTGGTGTTGTAGTAGATGCTCCAGTGTAAGGTGTGGTAGAAGTTCCTATGTGTGGTGATGTGGAAAACCTTTCTGTTGGATTTGTGGTATGTTCTGTTGTAGTGGTTTCACAATTGTAAACACAACACTTGACTCGTATTTCATAGTCGTAACACTTAGGAATAATACCTTGGTCTTTGTTATTACAGATCAGTCCATCGGTAGGATTACAAACTACATTTTGAYCTAAATCCTTCAAAGGTATATCTGGGAAATCTTTAGCTCGACACTCAATTTCAAAAAGTTTGTGACAACTACTTATGTCTGGATCAGAAATATTTGTAAATTTTTCATAATCCCCTTCATCACGTCCAGACCCAGGGTAATGATTGTTAATCCACTTTGACCACTTACAAATGTAGCAGTTAAGTGATGTAGATGTTTCAATGACTGGTGTTGTGGTAGATGTTTCAATGACTGCTGTTATGGTAGATGTTCCTATGTGAGATGTTGTGGTAGATGCTTCAAAGCCTGGTGTGGTGGTAGATGTTCCTATGTGAGGTGTTGGGGATGATGTTTTAATGGTTGTTGTGGTGGGTTGTTTTGTTGTGGATTTTTCAGTAGTTACACTTGTTGTGGGGATTTCTGTTGTTGGAGGTGTTGATGATTTAGATCGCGTTGTTGCTTTCAGTGTTGAGAAAGTCACAATTGTTGTCACAGCCTGTGTTGCAGTAGAAGTCTGTACAGTTACTGTTGTGGGCATCTCAGTATTTGTTTCTGTGTGGAGAGGAATGAACACACAAACAATGTATCAAACAAAAATTCACTTTTTTCCCTTAAATGGCAAAATTCTTTGTAAAGAAATCCTTCACAATGTTTCTTTGTACTACAATCTTACTTGTAAATGTGAAGACTGTTGCAGTGGTTTTTGGACTAGTGGTAAATGGAGTTGTAACACAAGGTTGCATGACTCTGATGATAGTCCCATTCTGCCCACAAACACCACTGATGCAAGTTCCATCTCCGTCATGTGTGTCATACACGTTTTGATTATACTTGTAGATACGACCCATATAGGTGCAGTAGCAAGCTGTAATTGTGAGATGGTACAAAATAAATAAAGAAAGCTGAAGGTTTTTAACACTGTACTTATTTTGTTAATCTCTTTTCATCAGTGACAACACATACAAGTCAAAGTCAGAGATTTGTCTTTTTTCTATTCACCTTTTACATCATAGACACACTTTTTTTCTGTTGAGGAGCAAAAGCTGAAAAGGTAAAAGAGATAAGAAAATGCAATCAGATATTGAGCAAATATACAGTATGCCTTAGTTAAAACAAGAGCTGTGAAAAACTGTGAATTTAGTATCCCCAAAAATGTCCTACCAACTGTGACAATTGTCTTCCGTTGGCATCGAGTCCCCCTCTTTATAATGGGTCTTATTATCATCATAGCAGCCACATCCTGTAACTGGTACACACATCATGGTATCTTCTTCCAAATAAGGTCGTTCAGGTGGGCAATTTGGATAGCAACCTTAAGAAATAAAACATGGGTGAAGAAAGCAAATTACAATGGTAAAGTAGCATTTAGTAATTTTGGCTATGTCCATGTGAGCAATTCTACTTAGTGGTGGAACGTAAATAAAATCTCATTGTCTGTTAACTAAGACCTTTCACAATAGTTACAACAAAAATTAAATTTAAAATGCATCTCCTCATATCAGTCTTACCTTCTAATGCTGGAAGCTGATTGTAGCATCGTCCTGAAGGATTGCTACATGTCTTCATGCATGATTTTCCACATGGTGCATAGTGCCACTCACACTCTCCATCAGGGTTGTAATAATCACAAAACAGAGCTAATAAGACAGGAGCATATTCATTATGATATGTTCTGATTTTAATCAGTGTCACAATGCTGTTGGATGGGTTTTATATATTCTTGTTGATAGAACTCAGCAGGTCAGAGTAAATGGTTCTATGTCAGATGTGGTGTTCTCCTCTACTGGTTCTCCTCAGGGCTGTGTTCTTTCTCCCTTGCTGTACATCCTGTCTACTAATGATTGCAGGAGTCAGTATATAGACAAATCCATCCTAAAACTTGCAGATGATACTGTTGTTGTCAACCTGCTACAGGGAGAGGATGACTCACCGGGCCAAGTAGTGGATGATTTTATGATGTGGTGTGAGAAGTCCTATTTAAAATTAAATGTCTCAAAAACTAAAGATACGTGCATAGATTTTAGGAAGAAGTCCAGTTCATCACCTTTAGTTCTCATTCAAGGCAAACGTGTGGAGAGTGTTCAGTCCTATAAATATTTAGGAGTTGTCATTGACAAGAAGCTGTCATTTGGTGAACATTTGGATAAGGTTAATAAAAAAGCTAATCAGAGACTGCATTTCCTATGCAAATTAAATAAGTTTGGAGTGTGCAAAAGATTGATGAGTATCTTTATAACTCACTGATTGAATCTGTCCTCACTTTTGCTTTTATCACTTGGTTTGGCAGTCTGTCAGTAGGAGACAAGAACAGGTTTAAACAAACTGTACAAGTAGCCAGCAAAATTCTAGGAGTTAGATTACCCGATCTAACAGAAACTTTTTAAAGAGAGTTCTACAAAAGGCTGAAGTCATTATCCACTCTCCAAATCACCCACTTCTTGGGGAATTTGAACATCTACCATCTGGGAAAAGATCTAGGCAACCTAAATCAAGAACCAATAGATGGAAAAACTCATTCATCAGCCAAGCCACTGTTCGGATAAATCTTAAAGGGGCAATATCATGTGAAATCAACTTTTTTGAGTTTTATATCATGTTATAGTGTTACACTCTCGTAAAAAACATGCCCAAAGCTCTACTTTGACTCATTCATGCATGTTTGAGAAATCCTGCAGCATTTTTAGGAAGCCATGCAGAGGAAGAAAATGACATGTGGGGACTAGAAATGCCTTTTGGTAATAGAAACGCCCCTGGGACGTGTCTTCAAGCCGAACTTCCTCATGGCAGAGCGCAACCC